TTATTTGTTTTCGAAAAATCTGTAGCCTCTGGGAATCATAAACGGGGCGAGCACTGCATGACTGTCAGTTGTATAGAGGTTTGCTGGTATTTCTGTCTAGACTGCTAATGATTTCTCCATTACGGATTATAAAATTCTAATCCAACATGTGTAGGATTTTATGCTCCACTTTCTTTCTGTATTTCCAACAGTATTAGCTACAGTCCAAAATACTTTGCACTCGTTAGGCCATCTGAGAGCTGTAGCAGAGGACCTTAGCTTCCAGGTTGTTCGTCTTCGGTCTGAAAATAAATAAAATCAAGCGTGAAAATAAAATCTGTGTGTACGCAGAAGCTCATTTTTTCCTCCATGGTTTCATGAAGTTTCCCTGAGTATTTCTGAGGCATGACTGGAGTTGTTTGTGTTTTGTCATATGTACCATGAAAAAGCAACTGCACATGTGGTCAGCCTCAGCTCTATAATCTAAAACATCCATTCTGCTGCTGGACACATAATAGCTTAAGATAGTGACATAAATTTCAATTACAAATACAAATTTGAAATTCAGTAAGTGCAATGAATGGTGAAATTCTGCCTCCACAGAAGTCAGAGCCAAAGCCCTTTGTTTGATTCTACTGAGGTCAGAACTCTATCGCCAGCGTTGTTTTCCTGGCTGTGGTTGAAGCAAAGCCTACTAAACTAATAAAAACGCTGCAATACTTTGAGACAACAGATTATTTCTTTATTTCCACAATTATCATTTGTGCAAATTTATATGGGAGGTTATGCTGACATATTTAAAACTGCTAAGAATGTTTGTGCCTGTAAGAAATTTTGCATCTGAAGTACAAGATTAGGCATAAACAACATGTTTTTGGAGGAAGTTTAATAATATGACTTAGCATGAATTGTTCATTTCTTGGTATTGACTTCTAATCTATCATTACATGAGAAACGTGGAAGAAATCAGCTACAGTTTTTGGTAGAAAATGGGAGAGAAACCTTATTGGTTTTTATTACCACAGTTATGCAGACATGCCTGATACCTCAGAGATTAGTGGCACATCAGCAGAAATCCACAGCAGAGAGCCTGTGGCCTTCTGGATTCAGGAACAAATCTCAGATCACCTATTGCATGCAGTACTTCCAAAATTGATTTAGCTGCTGCCAGTGTATGATTTACATGTTAGGGTAATTTAGCTACATAAAATGAAATATGGATTTATAATTTTTTAAGTCTGAAATAGGAATGCCATTATATCAGTGAGTATACTTTCAGACCATAACTGTTTAGGATTAAAATACGGACTCCCTCTGATGATGGTTATTGCTGATACCAAATAGTCACCAACGCTGCTGACAGCACAGGCCATGAACTTGCCATGCTTTTCATATCATAGAGAGTTTTAAAGTGTATATGTTTTTTAAAAGGCTTATATTCATGGAGCTGGTCAGAAGTATGCATCTTTTACTTATCTTTACACAGTGTAATCAGACAGTATTTTGTATAGGTTGAGAAATAGCAGATCTGTTTCCTCTGTTCAGCACATTATTGTTTAAAACGTTGAAATGAATTTGTAAGTCCCACATGAACTGCCATAACGAGCAGCTTAAAGTAAAGACAAATGAGGCCACTTTGGGAACAAAGACCTTTTAGAATATATATTTACCCCCTACTACATTTCTACCCTTTCATCACACTGTTCCGTTCCCTTCTCATTTGGAAGCAAGTTTGAGTGTCATGTGTTACAGTATGTGTGCTGTTTTAAGCACAGTTTTAAAAATATTTGCATACTGTGATTGTTTATACTTGTGTAAAGCTGTTGCCCGTGTGCTTTCTTTTTATCCTTTCTGCTGAGCTCCCTTGCTGCAGGAATTTTTAGAAGTACCACTGAAATTTATAAAATACATTAGCTATTTTGTATGTATCTTTCCAGACCTTTATAGTTAAAGAAACCATTTTTATCTCACTTCGGAGCCATCTCTTTGTCTACAAAAACTAATAAAATCTTGATCTCTGAATTCATTGTTTTTACCCAAAGCTAGTTTCCTACTTCTCATACGTTTGAAGTGCCATATAAGCACCTCCCAAAACATACTGAAGTCCATAGAAGATCCCTGAATTTCCAACCTTTACAAAATATCTTTAGTGGCAAAAGAATTAGTTTTTTTTTGGCAGGGAGATTTGTTTATTGCAGTGAGACTTGTATGGTAAGGTAGTCTTACCATACATCTAGAGTGATGCTGCCAGGGAACATTCCTGGACACTGGCAGTTGATCCTCTGTGCTGCTGAATGCTTAGCACATTCATCAGCCCTGATTTCTGCCAATTAACCTTCTCCCAAACAGTTCCCAAGCATAGGGTTTACTGTGCTCCAAGGCCTAATCCCAAAAGACAGTTTGGCAAAAGCCAGTCAGTGTTGGAAGATTAAATACCAAAAAGTTGCACACTTCTCTGATACAATTGGCCTGTTTCGAAAAGAACAGCTCTGGGCGCATTTAAGGTACTGGTATGTATGTAGCTCTATGGTAGTCTAGCTAGGAAAGAAGGAGGAACAGGGTTCTGCTGCTGCAGTTGACTGTTGAATTAGAGCTGCCAGATCTGCTGTGACACAGACTATTTCAGAAATCTGAGTTAGACAGAATTTGAGGACTTAACTGTCAGTTATTCCCGAGTACATCTAATGTGGTTTTTTGGACCTTCAAATGAGTATGTATATGTATGTATGTACTTCTCAAAAATCTTAAGCCTCCTGAGCCCATTCGATTCTTGTGGATCCATGAATGTACAGAAAACTGAAGTTACCATCGTGTGTGACACATAAGAAGGAAGGTGCCTTGATCTGGCCTAAATAGACCTCACCTTGAGTACTGTGTTCAGTTTTGGGCACTACACCACAGGAGGGACACTGGGGTGGTGGAGCAGGTCCAAAGAAGGGCAACAAGGCTTATGAAGGGCTTGGAGAATATGCCCTGTGAGGAGCAACTGAAGGAACTGGGGCTGTTTAGTTTGGGGAAAAGGAGGCTGAGGGGAGACCTTATTGTTCTCTTCCAATATCTGAAAGGTGCTTACAGTGAGAGCGGGGTTGGTCTCTTCTCACTGGTGACAGGTGACAGGATGAGGGGAGATGGCCTCAAGTTGCACCAGGGTAAGTTTAGGTTGGATATCAAGGAACTCTTCTTTACAGAAATGGTTGTTAAGCACTGGAATAGGCTCCCCAAGGAGGAGGCTGAATCACCATCCCTGGATGTGTTTAAAAGCTATTTGGATGTGGTGCACAGGGACATGATTTAGCGGAGGGTTGTTAGAGTTAGAGTAGTATGGTCAGGTTGTGGTTGGACTTGATGATCTTTAAGGTCTTTTCCAACCTGAGCAATTCTATGATTCTATCTGCATGTATAAATTGTCTTTACAGAGTATACAGTAAAAATGTGGTCTTCCTTATTCACAGTGTATAAGTTGCTCACTGTGTGTATGTTGTATTTCTACAGCACTTTATGAAAGCTTATTATGGCTCATGGAAAACAACTTCCTTCCTCTAGAACACGTTTGCATTGCTCCTTGCCATAGTTTTTTTTTTCATTAGCTTTTGCATTTTTAGGCTTGAAGAATTCATATATTCTTTTTATCATTGTCCATATAATTGTTGTATATTGTACGCAGTTAAGGTCCCAAAACTAATCCATGCCAGGAAACTGTTGTCAGCCAATGAAGTTGATTTTGCTTGCCTCCTATGAGGTCATGGATGTCAGAGAAGTCTAATAATCGTGTTTCTAAAATGTCAGAGCTTGTCAAGCATATCAAGAACAAGGAAACTCATGTGCTTTTAATTCCCCAAATATATATTATGACTGTGGGGGGAATGGTATATGAATTTTCTTTCTATTAACAAAAGCTCTTATGGAAACATAGCTTGCAGTGATACTATTCTGGTATGTTTGACACAACCTGTTTTTTAGTTGCAGTCAGCACTAACATTCTAAACTCATCCAGGAAATGCCTTTGTACTTTTTCATACCAGTATGTAGTTTTGTCATAGACAAATATACTGCATTTTCCGTAAACAAATCCATATGACAAAGACATTGATGTCTATAATTAAAGTTGAGTTAGAGAAGGAAAGAAGAAAATGGCTTAACTTGCTGTCACCAAAGTAATGATGAAACTCTTAACTTTGGCTCAAGCAGGTTTGAGAAAAGTGGTTGGTTTCTCCATGCTCATCTTGAGCAGATGGTACTAGGAGTTTATGAAGTGTAGTGTCATGTTTTTACTCAGTTCTACCAGAATTAAATCAAATTCCTTGTTAGCAATTTTTCTTAATGCATCTGTTCTGAAATGACAAAGATTTTAGAACAATTTTAGTTTTCACTGAAGTAAAAGAATAAATAAATACAAAGACAAAATATCTCAGCCAATACTTGCCAAACTCCTTTATTTATGTTGTGTCAACAGTTGAAAAATAGATTCCAGAAAAGAGATAACACATCGGATATTATGTGCCAGCTGCCAAGGAAAGATTTTCTCAGTAGCCTTTAGTAATATTTGGACCAAAAATTCATGAATGTGCAGCTTTCCAAACTTTGTACAATATAGAGTGCAGCTTCTCTCACAGGTCCTCTGTTTCTGGAACATTGTTGGAATCTGAAGGTTGAATGAACACTACTGGAATATTCTCAGATGTCCATCCTTTAGGAGTCCTATTGAAGGATCTTCTGGTAGCAAGAGGATTTGCAAGAATCATGAATCTTGGATCATTTAGCATCAATAGATTATAATCTGGCACCTTGAATTTAACCAGCTTTGATGCTCTCTCAAAACCACCAAAGGGAGTGGCAACTCTGTAGATTTTAGAGAAATAAAATTAAAGTGTTATTTTAAAATTGCCTGTTTTATTTGTTTTCCAGAGATTGAAAAGGATAGAAGTTATTTTAATGACAAAAATTACATTCTAAAGACTTTGGGAAAAGAATGCTATTTCTTTTCTGGCAAATTGTCCCTAATCTGATGTACTTTTCCGTAGGTAAAGCCTTTTTCAGTCATCAGTAGAGAAGTGTACAGAAAAAAATGTTGCAAGAAAACCTCTTCACTGGTGAGTCAGAGTTACTAAACTTACTTTGTTGGTGACAAATCAATCTGTCTGAAAAGCATAGTTCAACATATTCTCACTAGTGGGTAACTAGTTTAGGAAGTTCTCAGCCCATTTTCTCATATTCCCAGCTGCTTGTTCTTCTCACTACACTGTATTTTGGCACCATATTGTAGCAGTGTATATGTGGGATATGCGATGAATTTGGGTCACTTACATGATCTGCATTACAAAAATAATAATAACAAAAAACACTGCAAAACAAACAAACAAAGAAACAAATCAAAACCAATGCTTCAAAAGGAGGATTTTAAAATCCAAATTATTTTTGCAATCTGCTTTTTAATCATTATGGCGCAACGATTGTAACAATACGAGCGAGGAGGCAGTGAAGTGTAACATCAAGCAGAAGGGAGCAGCCAAAGACAACAGCCTTTGGAAAGGAGAAGAGTGGGTGAGGGCTTCTTATCTCAGCTTTGTTGCTGAAGAAAATGTTTATGTAACTAAGCCTTGAAACACTGGCTGAAATTTGCCCCTAATCTGCAGCCAGTATTTTTTCATGTTATTTGAATGTAGATGTTCCCTCAGATGATAAGCCTGAGAAACTAAAAGATAAGAAATTCTAAGCGGGAACTGATTGTTACATGCATTTAAACATATTTTAAAATAGAAGTATTTTCAAATACTTCCCATGATTCTTTTATATTTGCCAGTTTCTGGGATGAAAAAAAAAATAGGAGAGTGGGGAGAAAAGGTGGAGAGGGAGAGGTGTTTCTCTGTATCCAGAATCCTTTGTATAAGCAAATGTGACCAACCAGACATGCCTGTTTTTATCAGCCATATAACTTTGTCAGGATATAGTCTGATTTTTAAGTTGCACATTAACACTCAATTTCTGTAAAAATACATACGTAGTAGTATGTGACAGTTATTACTATTTTTTTTTTATAGTGGAATTTCTCTAGCCCTGGTAAGTTTTGTGTATTTGGTACCAAGCAGATCTGCTGGCATGTATTTCCAGTGGCTCCAGGTGATAGCATAAGCCAAGAGCAACAGAAACTAAAAAAGATAAATTGAAAATCTGACTAGGGTTTTCAGTGAGATGGATAAAACAAAACCTAGGAGCAATTAAGTGCACAAAAATAAAGAGATTAATATATTAAAAAAGTATATAAGTAAATCTGTGACCTAAAAGAAATAGTACTGCCCAGGCACTGCACAGATAATTCACTGAATTATGATACAAGCAGGCTTTGGCAAAAGGGATAGTGTTAAATCCTAGTCAATCAGGCAAGATATAAAAAAGTCATGAAAGTTCTGGGCACACATTCTTAGGAAGGGAAGAAGGCTGCTTTGGATTAAACTCTAAAACTCATTCCCAAATGAAGATAAGATTTTGCAGCAGCAACCACTCCAGGCATTAAACTCTCTTGAGGTCAAAAGGAATTCTTTTCACAGAATGCCTGTGGTATCAATCTTTTCCTGTCTTCCAGGTCACAGTGCCAAATTGGATACTGCATGATACTGATTAAAAATAATTGCTTGATAATTGGCACAGAGTGAATGTGGTGATCTACATCTTACAGGATAATAAAGATTGTTTTAATTGCTGCTCTAATTAAGATACACATTCTCACATTGTTGTAATATCTAATCCTCATCAATATATAAATAAAAGAAACAATCAAGATGAATAGAACAGTAATAGTTGTATAAAATCCAAAACTAATCTATAGTGTAATACTTTGTATTTTCTGTATTTTATTCTTTTAAGTACAGCATATTTTATAGGCAACAGAAACAGGGAGAGTGTTCTATAGTAATTCAAGTGGCTTTTCTGGGGAAAAAAAAATATTATTTACTATGTGAAGTCTGGCCACAGAGGATTATGCATTCTTGCCTGTTTGGCAGAAGCACATGACAATCAGCATAAAGGATAGTATAAGTAATTGGCTAATAGATGTAAATTTTCCTTTACAGCAGCGGTGTATTTCTTATGAGCAATAACTTGTCTGACTACGTGATGTTATAATGACCTGTGTCATAAGCTCTGATTCATTGTATAGAACTCATATGTAAAAATTCCAGGAGTCATTGCTTACAATAGAGGCAGAAATCCTGGTTCAAAGCCATAGGAAGTAGAACCAGGAAGCCTAAGAGACTGTTTAATGACCACTTTGCGTATTCCTGAAAAGTTGATGCGTGATATAATGTCATCAGACACAAACAGGTTTTCAGCTGTTTTGCTAAGAGTTCTTGTTTTGGTCTCAGTCTTATTGTATATTTTATTGTCTCAAAATAGAAGATTACTTGTGGTTGATTGGGAAAGTTTGAGATAACTGTATTAGCAGCTTCAGTTACATCATTTTGAAAAATGTGAGTTCCGCAAATAAAAATGGGACTATTATTTACAGAATATTTTGCTTATTCTGTTAATTCTATGCAAAAAGGAGATGTAAGAGCAGACAACTTGATCCTACAAAATGCTCAGACCTTCATGGTTAAGTTACTGCGAGAGCTAATGCCAGTTTGGCAAAGGTATTTAGGTGCTAAGGTACTGGCTAAACATTTAGTCTTCACTAATCTCTTACATTAGTTGGAGTTAGGCAGCCAAAATTCCTTTGAGGATCTGGTTCTTGGCATTTTTACAATTATAGTTCAGAATCCATTAATCAATAAAAGCAGAGCCCAGTCCAGATGGGCTGGATTCCTTTAGTGTTTTTGAAACAGTACTTTGGGAATTAAGAAGGCTGAGCAATAATTTTCTGGTAGGACAGACAGAACCAGTCAGACTTGCTTGTCTTATGTAGTGCTTTGTGTGTCACATGTAAGCTGAACTTTGATATTTTACTCAGTTTCAGGAAGGTATATGCAATAGAGGTACTAAATTAACTGATATTACAAACTCATCAACATATGTTAATTTGCCTGAAGGAACCTCCAAGAGAAGTCACATGGCATGGCTCTGTTCTGAAGCATTTCTCTGTGAGCACAGATTCCTTTTCATCCAGGGGGAGAAAGAGTAGCCTTGTCTGAAGAGTCTTCTTACAGTGATTCTATGAACCCAATTTCTCTGATTATACGCTCTGTCTAGTGCTAGCTGCAGTTCAGCCATTATTGGCTGCCTCACAGAAAGCCCTGCATCAGAAAGCAAATGTGCCTGTTGTTTGTTGTAGCTGCCTCTTCCTTCATTGACCTGCCAGCATTACAAGATCCCTGCAGTGTAAAATGCCTGCTAGATTCCAACTAATACTACTGTGAATTCCTTAGTTCTGATTCTGCTACGGTTAAAGTCAGTGATAAAAAATTACACTGCTGTATGGTCCAGAGCTGCCATTTCATTGCTGGCAGTGAAAAACAAACAAACCAAAAAACCTGAATGCTGTTGAACACTCAGTATGCTTTTGATCTGTGTTTGTGTGGGGCTGTTCCATCACATCAGATGTCCCTCACTGCTAAAGTCATGTTGCTGGTTTGTCCTGGAATGTGGAAAGCTGAAAGGAACCTGAATATGGCCAGTGAAATCCAAGTGCCATGTTGACAGATACCACTGAGTAAACTTGGTAGAATCTCAGGCCTGTTTCTTTGGGAATTCTATGCATCACACATAATGTTAACCACACCCTGTCCTGACTAATGATGACTGTACTAGTGTTTTGCCGGAGAACAGACATAATGGTACTTTGGTACTTTGTTGAATGATGAATCATGATAGAAAGCCTTCATTGATGCCCCCAATGATAACAAAAATAGATGTCATTATACCACACTTCAAATGTTTAAAACACTGTCATTTCTTTTCTCTCCAAGACTGCAATTAAAGACATCAAGGATTCTGTGACCTAGATTAGATAACTTAATAGTATCTAGAAACAAAAGACTGCTAAAGTTTTCCTTCTGCAAATGTTCAGATCTGTTTAACTACATTGGCAGCTGCATCTGTCTTAATTGAAGCTCATCTGTGATTCCTTAATTAATACAATTTTGCCCAAACTTTCCATACATGAGAACATGATGTACTACAACCGCAGCAAGGTTAGAGTACGTTACGGCACTTTCACTCAAAACCCATTGCTAGTACTGTTGAATTGCTGTGTCAGATGACAGTATGTGTGTGAACAAAGCTTTTTTTGCAAGATACATCTCTTTAAGAATGAACCTAACGGCTCATATGTAGTGTTCCAGAGGTGATGAAATCCTCTATATTGAATCACAAATGCTGTCCAGAAATATAAAATTAACTGGGTTAGAAAGACTGTGGTTTTTTGTCTAGATGTCAGGCCACACAGTTAATAGCAAAGAGGTTTAAATCACACAATCACAGAATGGTTTGGGTTGGAAGGGACCTCAAGGATCATGAATCTCCAACCCCCCTGCCATACGTAGGGCCACCAACCTCCACATTTAATTCTAGATCAGGCTGCCCAGGGCCGCATCCAATCTGGCCTTGAACACCTCTAAGGATGGGGCATCCACAACCTCTCTGGACAGTCTGTTCCAATACCTCACCACTCTCTCTGTAAAGAACTTCCCCCTGACATCCAACCTAAATCTCCCCTCCCTCAACTTAAAACCATTTCGCCTTGTCTGGCAGTTATCTACCCTTTCGAAGAGTTGATTCCCCTCCTGTTTGTAGGCTCCCTTTAGGTACTGAAAGGCTGCAATGAGGTCACCCCGCAGCCTTCTCTTCTTTATGTTGAACAAGACAAGCTCCCTCTGCCTGTCTTCGTAGGGAAGGTGCTCCAGTTTAGGTTCTTTTTGCTGCTCCTAAATCTGTTTCTTCCATTTACTGAAAGCAATAACTGCAGAGAGTACGTTAAAAGATCTGGGAACTCAGGTTCAGACTGTAGTTTCTCAACTTCCATGTGTACTGCCTTATTGTTCAGCTAGAGAAAAAAAGAGTATTTATTTCCTCTGGCCCAACTCTGGTTTATTTTCAGTATTCTGGCAGAGGTCATGCTTAGCCTTCTCTGTAATATTTGTAGTTAACTAGCTTGGCAGTTG